TCCCTACGTTCCGTGAGGGTGAGGACCGCGACAAGATCCCTCAAAGTATCTTCTTCCCCAAAGTCTCCATTGATGGACCTGTATATTACATCCAAACGTCTGAGCATCCTAGTTACAACATTATGTGAATCTCCTAGGCATTCACGTGGTCCTGTGGCTAAGAAGAAAAAAGAAATAAATTTTTCGAATGTTGTCTTTCTCGCTTCTCTCGAAGCACAACATTCGGCGGGGCATGATGTTCGAAGACATTTTTCAGCACCATGAGTCCCCGATGCAAAATAAAAGAGAAGCCGATCAATAAAACCTGACAAACAGTGGAAATTTTGACAGTCTCAGAATGATCTCAAACTGCCTAAGATCTTCATAAGGACTTCTAAAAGTCTCCTGTCAATTTTTGTCGCATTCCGACATGTTTAAGGCAGTGTAAACGAAGAAACAATTTCGATAGAATCAACCTCTAACACCCTGAAACATACCCCTATAATTAGAACCCTACTTTTAGAGCTTCAAATGGTAGTGGAACCACCACCATTGGATCCGAAAGAAGTTATGGGAAAAAGAGAGAAACAGGAGGAGCCTCACACTATTCCCATGTGGCCACCCTGTAACTAAACTCCATTAAAGCACAATCAACAACAGGGAACTAGCGATGCCCATATCTCTCTCGTCTGAGATCAGATCGCGCTTAAACTTGTTGGAGCGTGTTCATCTCATCGAAACGAGCATTTTGATATGTTGTACGTCCAGTGACGATGTCGGAGCAGGGAGAAAAACTAGAGAGAAGTTTGTGATTCGAAGGCACACGTTGCAGAAAATCAGCAGGACGCGTACTCACTCGAGTGGCCAAATCATAGTGCCTGCCAGCCCGATCGACATGAGACTAGTTGCATCACGTTCGTAAGATCCGTAGCTATCACTAGTCCGAACCCTGTGCGTGATGAACAGTTGGACTTTGCACAAGATCAAGTCGAAGTCACAACTAATTCCGACAGCCGGAATTCTAAATTCTGGCCAAAAGTTCAAGATTGTCAAAACTTCGTTTGGGCACCAAATTGTGTCCCATTTGTTGCAACGCGATCGTCGTAACATGCTCAGTGCAATTCAGCAAAGAAATCGAAGAAAAACATCAAGATGAAGATGTACTATCGATCGAAAGTTTTCAGGATCTATTCAAAATTCAAGTTATGTGATCATACTTTTAAAGTGTGATTCATGGCTTAAAATTATTATCAAAATGATCGCAGCATCAAGCCCTACACGAAGGCAATCATCTTTTGTTCATTCAGATGCTGGATCATCAATGGATCGTTTAAGAAGAATCAAGAACGTCCTTAGTTCTCAATAAGGACTATTTTAAAATTTCTCCAATTGTTAGGAAGGGGCAAATCAATCATTTTGCACCCTATTTTCTTTTTTTTTTAATTCAAATAAACCTTAATTATCATCAATTAGGGTTAGTTTTGGGTGATCCACCCATGCTTCAACCCTAGTCTATAAATAAACGCTACCTCTTATTGTAAAGAAACCTCTCTTTTGAACTCACAGAGACGTTTGATTAATAAAAATTATTCTTTCAAGAGCATGAGTTGGGTCATGTTTCTTCTTTGTAGAGAGAGAGAGAGAGAGAGAGAGAGAGAGAGGAGAGAGAAAGTTTAGAGTGGCACTCCTCTTACCTTCAAGGTATTTTCTCTCTCTTCCCTTCTCTCTCTAATTTTTCGTTCTCTCTCTTCCTTTCTCTCTTCTTCTCTCTCTTCTTCTCTTTCTTCTTCGTCTTTTCTACTGAGTCTTTCTCAGAGGCCATGCACAGCAGTGGCAGTGCCATGCATGCCTCTTTCTCTCTTCCTCTTCCTGTGACTTCGCAGGTCGTGCATGGCGATGGCAGCGCCGTGCGTGAGCTTCTTTCTCCCTCTCCTCATTCGTCTCTTTCCATCAACATGGTTCATGCATGGCATTAGTCGTCGTTGTGCATAACGACATCTGAAGGAGCACATGGTGAGCCGGGCTGTGTTCAAGCAACGGGTCGGGCTCTTGTTTCGGTTTCAAGATTGGTGTCACGTGAGGTGATATGCATCGCCGACCACAAGCCATCCTTCTTTCTTCTCATGGGTCACAGACGGCGCTGCTCATCGCCATTTGCAGGCATGTCTTCGACATCCTGCGCAAGTGCAAACGGCGATAGTCATCGCCATTTATGAACATGTTCTCTTGCACCATGTGCCTATCGCAGATGGCAATGCCTACCACTGCCCGCGAAGGGTCGCGGCGATGCTTACATGTGCCTATCGCCATCCGCAAGCTTCTTTTGTGCACTCTGTGCCTATCACAGACGACTATACCTATCGGCGCCTACAAAGGATCGTGTTGCTGACGATGATGGCTAACGCCGTCTGCAGTTCATTGGTCGCCCTTCCACAGCCAGAAGCGGTGTCCAGTGTCGTCCAGGGACCACGACACTGTTACTCCACGGCTGTGGGCAACGATGCCTAACGCCGCCGGGACCTTCTTACTCCGTCGTCTCCCGTCTTCTCTTTGCTTTATTTTCTTCTCTTCTAGCTTGACTAAAAGATAGACTAAGTCTAGCACTATCATAACAGTCTGGCTGTAAAGCAGTATTACCATCGTGTTGGTCCAAATACCATGCTCGTCATGCTGCCACACCAAATTATGATAGTTATATCGGCCTTGGTTTCAAGTAATATTATCGTTGTGCTGGTCTGAGTTACCATGCCCGTCTTGCTACCACTCCGAGTCGGTCACTATATTGGTACAGCTATCATGCTAGTCTCATCCCCTTTTTAAGTTCTCTTTTCTTTTGTCCCCTTATTTAAATTCTCTTCTTCGTCACCCTAACTTCTCATCTTCTCTACCATCTGAATGTGCACATATATGCATGTTCAGCCCAAGACAAGGGTGGGTCCCTCGGCCCACTTGTCTTACAAATTAACCATGCTAATGCTTTGCAGAAAGCAAGGAGATTGGAGGTCAAGGGAGGCGATCCCGAACCAGCTGAAGCAGCAGGGGAGCTTTTCGTTGTGATCTAAGAGGGCACCCACACGAGTCAGCCTGAGTAAGTCATGGACCTAGGTGAGGTTGGTCCTGACCTAACGTTTAAAATTCCCCTCTCACCAGTTGAGCACTTGCCCTTGTTCTACGAACAAGATTCCTGAGAGAGCGATCTCAAGTCCTTGGTCTTCCGAATCTGAGACACGTGTCACCCGATTACCTACATCCGGGGAGGCAAGATCGAGGCATCCGACCACACATCTCTTAGCCAACAGTGGCATGGTGTGTAAACAACCAGTGGCATGGTGTGTAAACAACAGTGGCATGGTGTGTAAACAACCAGTGGCATGGTGTGTAAACTACCAGTGGCATGGTGTGTAAACAACCAATCCATGCTCAAACTAACATCAAAGTCCCAGATATCTAGAAGTATCAAGTCTATGGGCAGAACACACCCTCAAGCAACCCCCCACCATATTAGTTTCCATAGAATTCCCCATGAGTGTACATACTTCTAAAGTTCAGTCAAGAAGTGAAGGCTCAACATTTATGTGACATGCAAAGTAAGGTGCAACAAAAGAATGAGAAGAACCAGGGTTTATCAAAATTCTAGCTTCTCTACCACAAACAAAGAGTGTACCTCAAATCACTGAGGTAGACGCCTTAGCTTCCTTCTTTGTGAGTGCAAACACCCGATCTTGAGTCTTTGATCGATTTTCTGGCCTCTTCACAGGGCAGTCCTTGATTAGGCGGCCAAGCTTGCCACAACCAAAACACGTTCTCGACTTCTTGTGGCACACAGCCACAAAGTGGATATTCATTCTGCAGTATGAGCAGGCCATGCGTCAGTTATCCCTCACATCATCCGGGAATGTCTTTTGGATTTTCTGGTTGCTCTGATTAGCCTTTCCCCTAAAGTCACTTCTAGGAGGCGACCGAGTCTTCCTCCCAAAACTCCCAAATGGTGTGGACCTTACTCTTCTTTTCTTCCTTAATTGGAACTCTTCACAGTCTTTCTCAATCTTCATAGCTAGGTCCACCAACGGGGAGAATGTCTTAAGATTAGTTGACATTATTCTGCCTAGTTTATTCGGCCTGAGGCTCCTCTCAAACTTGCTCACCTTACGTGCCTTTGTATTGATGATATGTGCCATGTAGCGAGAGAGCTTTGTAAATTTATCAGCATATTATTCCACTAATAACCCCCCTTGATGTAGCCCAATGAATTCCACTTCTTTCTTTTCTCGGACTGAATCGGGGAAATACTTCTCATTAAATGCTGCTAGAAAACTTTCCCCAGTTGCCTCAGTCTCTATCTATTCCCAAGATTGCCTCACCGAACTCCACCAGTGCTCGGCATCCCCTTCTAACATAAAGGTCCCTAGCCTAACCTTCTGCTCATTGGAACAATGCAACACTCCAAATATCTTCTCTACTTGCCTCCTCCATTTTTCATCTTTTTCCACTTCTCCGTGTCCCGGGAATGCGGGAGGAGCAAGTCTTCTAAAGCTCTCAATCAATCTATTGTCATCTAGGCCTGGGGTGGAGGCAGTCGGGGTCGACATATAGTCCTTCATCATTTGAGTCATGGCCCCAAGCGTTTTGAAGAATTCCCCCAAGGCCTCAGTGTTTTCATTACTAAAACTCATATTGTTGGCACGAGTCCTCGTCATCTTGACCTAAAACAGGAACACCCAGTTACTAGCCTATCCAAAAAACTACTCTAAGGACACTTCTAAGACTCTTTAGGCCAAGAATATTATCCTGGTTGCTCTGATACCATAAATTGTCACAGCCCTACCCCATACCCCCATACCGTAAATTGTCACAGAGTAACAAGGTACGGGACCGCGATAAGAGGTAGCGAATGCCACTCAGGTGAGAGTTGCTCGAGGCTTTTGAAAACAAGGAATCAAAGAAAACAAAAAAAAAAAACTCCAACACAATCAAAACAAAAGCTGAACAAACTAAAACCAAATTATATAGCATTTCCTGTGTATTACAAATTGTTCAAGGCACGAAAAGCCCAATAACAATAATACATAGCTTCACAACAAAACAACTATACGGCCAACTACCATCTAATGCCTACAATCAAAAAGGAAGCTTCTTATCAAGTATGGGTCATCAACTGCCAGTCGTGAATACCCCACTGTCCGTCCTCAAACCGCGAGTACTCACTCTACATTAAAGAAAGTCAAAGGGATGAGCTATGAAGCCCAGTAAGTAGATCAATCACGATGCATTCCTGCCTATACACAATTATTCATAATCGTCCCCAGAATTCATGTAAGTTATATAATATGGAGTCATGCATCACAGTTCAACATGCCGTGAGAAATTTCTTTCATGGTGGAGCAAGCACAAATCAGATATGAGATATCATAAGAGTTAACAGTTTATCAACTCTTTTTATTCGAATAACAGATCAATAATTCCAGCAAATATATAATGATGTAATCCTAATATCACCTATTCCTGAAGTAGAAGCCCTATCAATCATTCCAAGCCAAATCACATTGCTTAGGACTTCTACCATTCCTCAGGAGGGAAGACGATGACAAATGGATGATCCATTTCGTAATGTCTTCACACACACATACACATACACACACACACACAGTCCTCAGCTCGCTTTGGGGCTTTTGATAGGCAGGGGCCTTGCAAGACACGACCCTCTCCTTATGCCCTTCTGATGAGAGAGCGTAGTGCTCATATAGATTTGGGGGGCACGACCCACCAAAATATTAACATGCACGTTCTAACTCCCGTCCTATCATAAGGAGTCAGGGAAAGCTCTCAACTGCCAGTACAGCTTTCTTATCATACCATATTGCACTATCAATGGATGACCCATTGCATAGTGCTTCACATCACATTTGTGGCATGTCTGATTACAACCATGCACATTCACTATCTCATGGGCATGTTTGATTATAACCATGCATATTCACTATCACATAGGCATGTCTGATTACAACTATTCACATTTATTATCTCATAAGCATTCACTATTTCATAAGCATTCACCATTTCATAAGCATATCTTATTACAACCACGCATATTCAACATTTCATAAGCATTCACTAATTTCGTAAGCATGTCTTATTACAACCATGCTCATTCAATATTTCATAAGCATTCACTAATTCATAAACATTTACCATTTCATAAGCATATCTTATTACAGCCATGCATATTCAACATTTCATAAGCATTCACTAATTCATAAGAACTCACTAATTTCATAAGTATTTCTTATTACAACCATGCTCATTCAATATTTCATAAGTATTAACTAATTCATAAGCATTTACTAAATCCATAAGCATTCACTTTCATAACAGAGTAGAAATCTCAGTGAAATAATCTCTTAGAAAAATGAGCGTAGCTTCAACTCCATAGGGAATTTGATGATGGTTGCAAAGCTATTTTGAAAATAGACTTATTTATCTTTCCTTTACAAATGGTTTGGTCTCATTCTAAGACATTTTGGTCAGTAAATAATGTTGCACAAAACATGGGATAGTTCTGAAAAATTCAACAGAAAATTCAGTGTGGTATCCTTGTAGAATGATGAACATAACTTTCGAATCACTGAGAATTTGATCATGCTTCCAAGACTTTTTCTAAATAGATTCACACATCTTTCATTTAGAAGTAGTTTGAGCTTATTCCAACTGATTTCGTCATCGAACAATCTTACACAAAAACATGTAAAGTTTCTGGAATTTCTTTTCGCTATTCTGGCATGTTCTAGCAAATGGCTCATAACTTTCCAATCAAAAGAGATATTGATATGGTGTCGTTTCCTTCTTAAAATAGATTCAAAGAGGTACTTCCCCACAAAATTTCATAACCAACAGTGATGCCTTCAAGACTACACAAATAAGAGTCACGGTTTTGGAAATACAGGGCACAATTTAGCATAATTTCATTAACATACATCCACCCCATATTTACATTCACATGCATGCTTGGATTTCATACTAATCAATCAAACAAAGTCATGGATGCTAGATCTACTTAGTTGTATCCAAAAGAACTTCAAGTTTTCCCCACACAGATTCCCCTCAAATGACAAGCTTCCAAGGATGACCAAGCCTAAGGTTCTAAGTGTTTGAAGGGAGGTCATGAGTGATAGAGAGAGTAAAAATTCTTGAGAGGGGTTATATAAGCAAAGAGGGGGAGGCAGTAGGCAGGTGGCATGTAAGGGGCTACAAGTGGCATCCAGGTAGCTTACAGTGGCAAACAAGTGGCAGACATGTGGCATTCATTGGTGAACAAGTGGCGGACATGTGGCATTCAGTGGTGAACAAGTGGCACACATGGCACTCAAGAAGGAGCAAGCACATTCACTCTCAGTAGTGTCACACATGACGGCTTACCTCACACGTACGTCGGCATCTCTTACACGCACAGCGGCTTCCTTTACACACAATGGCATCCATTGCACGTACGGTGGCTTCTTCTTACACACACGGTGACATCCCTTGCACGCACGGTGGCTTCCTTCACGCACGGCAAAGTCCACGTCCTTACAGACCTAATTTACTACTGGGTAGGTCAAGGTTCACTAACTAGTGAAAAAGTTGAAGTCAGGATAGGTCTATATAGGTGCTCATGTAAGAATATAGCGGAGGCGAGGGCTTACTATGTGTGGGTTGTTTTGAGCTAAGGAAGTTTGTAGAGGTACTCACATTCGCATTGGTATATCCCCAACCATTATGCGCACAAAAACTTGGGATCCTGCGCCATATCGATGTTAGTTTAGGGGTCCTAGAAAATCATTTGAAATAAAACGTATTTGAAGGTGCTACCAGTGTGATCCGAGTGTGGAGAATGAGCACGCATGTGGTGGGTGTAGGATCTGTGGCAAACAGGCAATATGCAAACAAAGCCAACCTACAATACGAAGAGAAATAAAGCTATACTAACGAATTAATCTAAACTTTCTTATTATTTATTTTTTCTGTTATGGGAAAATAGTAAGCGATGTTGCTGAGAATAGGAAACATAGGGGAAAAAAAATTAGCAGGAAATAGGCCCCCAGAAAAAAATCTGGCAACCCACTGATCTACGCGAGTCGATTCGATTCACGTAGAAACTGCGTGAGTCATAATGACCTAGGCTAATGCAGGAAACCCATGATCGAGTTTCCAAGGACTTTTCTGATAATTTCTAGCCCTTGCTTTTCTATGTTTCTACTGGAAAACAAAAGTTGAGAACGATATAAAACTTGGAAAACAAAAGTTGAGAACGATATAAAACTTTTAATGATCTAAAGGTGTGAATCTACATGCTCGATAGCCCTTCGGTGTGTGCCAAATTGTTTACGCGCAAATCTAAGCAAATCTCTGATGAGATCACTTTAAATTCTTGCAAAACAAGTTAAATATAACAAATAGGTTGAAAAAGTGGGACAAATCAAATTATCGATTCAAAGCATACTCATATCCGGCATATCTAATCAGATTTGGATCTACTGGCAGTGCCAGATGCAATCTCACACCAAGATAGATCTTTTAAAAGTTTATAATTTTGAATAAGATCCTAAATTATGAAGTGAAGAAGTAAATAGGAAATAAACAAATAAAAATAAAGATGAGAGAACTTACTTCGAGAAACCCAAAACTCGGAGTTTATTGCTTGTATCAAACCACCTTTTGTACACCTTCTCCTTGATTGTAGGCTCTTCCTTGAGAGGCTAATTTGAAGAAGTTATATAGCCAAAAGTTTTGCTGAAAATAGGTTAGATTTTCTGAGTTGAGTTATAGGGCTTCTAATACCAAATTGAGTCCTTTAGAGTTTCTAGATCTGGGATTTCCATGAGGGTTTTACCTATTTTATAAGGGTTTTGTTGGTTTTTTTCTAAGATTTTAGGGCTTCTAGGATTTTCTACGAATTTATATCATTTTTTAGGATCTATGGGAAATTTCTGGGATTTTTCTAAATTTATGGGGATTTCTATTATGTTTTAGATTTTTTAGGGATTTTTTGGATGAATTTTATGGGAATTAAGGGTCTATATAGACTAGGCCTAGGGACTTCTAAAATATATACTCTTTATCCTATAAAATTATCCTGATTTTGCCAAAGGGTAAAACTGTCCAAAACACTGTATCTAGGGCCAAATTGCGTAGTCAGACTTATGCCAAAAAAACCTTCCTGAACTCTTAATGGGAGTTTTGCCTATTGGGCCTACACGACTCATAGAGGGGTGCCTGGCCATGGGCCCGCGACCTCCATAAATGCTGCTGCCCATGCGCGACCTGCAGAGCGGTGCGCACCAAGGACCTCCGTGTTATTTGTCTTATACAATTTTCTCAGGGCTATAACTTTCGAATACTGGATTAGATGTGGGTGATTCTTAGACCCTTAGAAAGCTATTGGGGACCATTATCATTTGAGCCAATTTTGGGTGATTTTGGGTCAATTTTAAAGTGCCTAGGTTCTCTATAGTTCATTAGGCTTAAAATGATCCCTAAGACTCAAAATCGAGGTTTCTAGATATTCTATTAGCCGGAATTTCCAAGGGCTATCTATAAATCACCTAAAAATCTATTTGTATATCTAATTATGAAATTTAAAACTCCAAAAAATGATGTAGATGAAGTAGATCTAGAAATATTTGAAAATGTCGAAAATAAACAGTATAGATAATACATTACAAGATATACATGTTCCAGGACTTGAAAGTTTTTTTTTCACATCGATGCTTCTCAAGGCAGAGGATCATTGAAGGGTTTTTGGGCATCAAAACAACCTTCTCAAATGGTTTTTTGAGGTGCGCCTTATTTCTATAGTATAAAGTTGACACCTTATATAAAGGGTTTCCTAAATAATATGGATATAGACTAACATAAAACAAATTCAAAACCAAAAACAATCATATAATTCCTTTTTTTTTATAAGAATAAAAGTAAAAATAAAATAATTTTCTATGGTGCTCACGTTGGGTTATCTCCAAGTTCGCACCGAACTGCAACTACCACATTCCCTTAGTGTCCTCTTGTTTACCTTGATAGATCTCCATTGGGAGACTGACATACGCTCTATGATGTGACAAAATCTTACATGCAAGATGTAAAACAAGAAAAATGGCGCTGAAGAACTATCGCCGGGGCCACAAATGAGGGCTGGGCGACCATAGCACGAAGGCCGGGCCTCAGATTAGGCCTAAGCCAGGGCCACAGCAAGGCCGGCTCGGCCAACTCAAACGAGGCCAAGGCTGTGCCGGGCCTAGTCCGCTCCGAGCCCATTGCCATAAGGCAAGATTAAAAACAAATAATTTCAAATTGTGCTTTTTCTAACTTTCTTCACCTTTGTCAAACAACATAAAATCCAAAAAATATAAAATGAGACGATTTACCTTTGGTATAAAGTGATAACAAATAATTTTTTACCATTAGATGTGAAATTGAGTTGTTGCACTTATTACATTGACCACGCTCAAACTTCAAAATAAAGTTTTTCGAACTTTATGATGCACCCAAACTATCAAATTTCACATCGGATAGTTGTAAGTAATTGTGACTACCTTGTATCAAAAATAAACAGTCTCATTATATTAAATCTCATATTTTGGATAAAACATAATGAATGACCAATAGAATTCCATCATAAAATAATACATTAGAACCCAAAGTCACAATCTCAAAAAGACCAAATACAATTCCACCCAAATACATTCCCAATATCAATAATGAATAGGGAAGAAGAAAGACAGGTCAGGCTGGTTTTGTGTCTCAGAAATCTCTTGCCTCCAGCTCACTCATACAAACCAGATCTCCCTCCATTCCCATCAACTGCCTCAGAAAAATAAAAACTAAATTAAAAGGAATACAAAAAGAAATGAAAAACAATAAGAGCCCCCAACTTGAACATCTCGTTTTTTTGGGGAGGAAGGTTAAATACCAGACACTCTGCATTGTAGCTCTTATTCCCTAACCATAAAAATTTTCCATTCCAACAAGGACCTTATAAAAGAAAAGAATCAATTGTAAGACGCAGTTCCTAATTTCCTGTAACAATGTCCTGTTCATGATGAATATTCAGTTCGAAATGGGAGCCACTGTGGGAACCTTGACAGGGAATTGATCAATCTCATCCATCCAAGGATTGTTTACTGTCTCATTCGCAGGATTCACAGTTCTAAGTGCCTTCCAAACTGCACTATTGCACTTAAACCCTGATCCAAATGCAATCTGCCAAGTCCTATCCCCCTTCCTAATCCTCCCTTTGGCCTCAGTGTATGCTAACTCATACCACAACGAACTACTCGATGTGTTCCCAAACCGATATAAAGTCATTCTTGAAGGCTCCATGTGCCACTCTGATAACTGCAAGTTCTTCTCAAGCTCATCCAAAACTGCTCTCCCACCCGCATGAATACAAAAATGCTCAAATGCGAGCTTAAAGTCAGGAATATAAGGTCTCAACTTCATTCTAAATAGCTTTTTCCCTATCAACGTGCTCAAAAACAAGAGTTGCTCAGAAAGAGGAAGAACAAGAGGGCCTAGAGTTGTGATATTAGCCTTTAGGGCCTCCCCTGCAACACCCATGAGCTCCTTGGATAGAGAGACACCAATACGACCGGTTTCATCCTCTTGTTGGGTCACGCACCCGAAGCACCTGCCATCTGAGCCCTTGTGGGTGCGCACTGTGTGCACAAGCTGGTATTTAGACCTATGTCTATCACGCCCTTTATTTGTGAGCAGAACAGCTGCAGCTCCCATTCTGAATAGGCAATTTGAGACCAACATCGATCGATCATTCCCAAAATACCAATTCAAAGTGATGTTCTCGGTGCTCACTACTAGAGCGTACGAATTGGGTTTCACTTGTAAGAGGTCTTTTGCAAGATCAATTGATATGAGACCGGCACTACACCCCATTCCCCCCAAATTATAGCTCGCGATGTTTCCTCGAAGCCCATATCGATTCACTATCATAGCTGAAAGAGAAGGGGTAGGATTAAAGAGGCTACAGTTCACAATGAGGATTCCAATATCCTTAGGTTTCAAAGAAGTTTTTTCAAAGAGGCGATCAACGGCACCGAACATGACAGCCTCAGCTTCTTTTCGAGCCTCAGCCATAGATGGGTTTGGGGGTACATTGAGCACGGCTTGAGGGAGATAGGTGTCTTCTCCAAGGCCCGATCGCTCTAGAATTTTTCTTTGAAACTGGAGGCTTTGGTCAGTGAAAGAGCCGGTGAGTTGAGAGCGAGACATGAAGATCTCGCGTGTGCATTTACGTGATTCCTCAGGTTTATAGCATGCAAAATCAACAAGATAAACAGGTCTTGGGCGAGTAAGAAAGTAGAGGGTGGAAAGGAAAACAAGAAGAGCTGAGCACACTACTACTGAGACAAGATTGTAACGAAGGTGCTCCCATAGGACATGGAAGTCTTGAATTGTTAGAGAAGAGAGGTGGGCGATGACTATGATAAGTAGAGGAGAGAGAAAGAGGTACATGGCATGGGTGATGAGGTAATGGTAACCGAGTTTTACATACTTGAGTTTCACTGATTGTTGGAAATCAGGCAGGTTCCGATTCTTTCTTGATGGTTGGGGTGTTCGGTTTTTTTGGGTTTCATACATTAATGGCTGGGTTGTTGGGTCTGGTTTGGTGTCAGCCATGGCTAGTTAGCTAGAGATTAAAAGAATTGTTAATTGAATGTGAAAATCTAAGTGAAATAGGTTTAGAAAGAGTAATTTTAAAGACAATGATGAAAATTATTATCAAGCTCAAGATTGAATTGAAGTGAGGAGCTTTCTCAGTTTTGGGGTGAAAAGATAATTCAGACCAAAGTTTGGCCTTTTGTTGAGGGTGCACAGAAAATGGGTTTCTGGGTTGTCTGCAATTAGGATTTGGGGCAAATCCGGGGTTAGGTTTATTGCAACGAGCTCAGCTCAAACCTGCAGGGATCCATAAAACTGTATTATCAGATTAAAAAAATAAAGGAAAAACAGATTTAGACTGAAACAGATCTGGAAAAGAATAAATCTGTCTCTTAAAAAACAATTTTAGAGATTTATCTCCCCCATAAAAACAACTTTCAAGATTTATAAAGACGATTCTATTGAAAAAACAGAAAACTGGGCACAAAAATGAGGAATAAAATAATAATAATAATAATAATAATAATATTAAAAAAAAAAGACTAAAAACTGGGCGTACACCTCACGTCTCTCTCTTACAAATATAAATGAACATAAACAAAAGTTTTAGAGATCGAGATGTGATTTTTATTGAAGACAAATATTGTGCTTAAAAAAAAAAAAAAAAACAAGAACTGGAAATGAAGAAGCCCCAACCTCTAAAAAACAACATATAGGCCGAAATAATATATGTGAATATATATATATATATATAAAATAAAACAAAAAAAATGTAGAAAGAGAAAGGTTTAAATCCACTTAAAACAAAAAAGAATGAAGAAAGGGCACATTTCTCTCTCCTGAACGAATTTTTAGTTCCAGAAACCGCAAAAACAACAATTTTTTTAAAAAACCAAAAAAAAAAAACTGAAAGGAGAAACTCTCTCGCTTGCCGAAAATTAATTTCTCTCTCTAAAATCATCCACCAAGAGGAGAAACACTTTCTTTCTCTAAAATCATCTACACAGACCAAGAGGAGAAAGTGTTCCTCTCTCTAAAACATCTACGCAGCCCAAGAGGAGAAACACTTTCTCTCTCTAAAAACATATACTCAGAGAAGCAGACTGTAGATGTGTTTAGGAGATTGCTCTCCACAATCTGGAAGAAAAACAGGTCAAATGATCAAGAGAGAGAGCCCACAACTTAGGATTTGCAATGCTGATAAAATGAAGATACCTGAACCGATTTCCACCGTCGGATCCGTTCGCCAATGGCGATGATGGGTCGCCTGAAAATTCAAAGCCCTCAGAAAGAACCAGAGAGAGAGAGAGAGAGGTTACAGGAAAATGGGGTCAAAAGGTATATATACGATGAACATGGGTACTGAAAATTTGGGGCGAGAATTATTAGGAGAAAATAAAAAAAAAAGGAATGGTAGAAACAAGACGCGAGTTATTAGGGAAGAATTGTAGGCCGTCCATTTCACATGTGGACGGCTAAAACGCTTCCAAATATGCTGGCCTCAATGACGTGGAAAAAACCTAGGGCCAATTTTTTTGGTTTTTAATGCTTCTTCTTTTCTTTTCTTTTCCTAAAATGAGTTGGCCGCCCACGTTCTGTTAATTTTTTTGAATTTTGAAATTCTTAAATTTAACGGCATGGTATAGAATAATAGAATAGTGCAATGGACTATGAAATAGCATACTCCAAGACCACATTGGAGTTTAGGGAAATTATTTTGCAGTCTCCATAAGGAATATGTGTACATAAGGAACAATCATCGTCCATTTGATGAGTTGTAAGGTACAAAAGAAATATAGGCTTCCACTATCCAATTGGTGCTCTTTTTCCACAATTTTTTTTTTTGGGCTGACATCCAATCCGTTAATCAGATGAGATGAGCCTAGTTGCCACTTGTATTGTCACGAGTATTAAAAGAAAAGAAATTTATCAAAATACACCTCACTTTTTAACTACTTAGCGTTTTAACCTTTTCCTTTTTTTTTT